TTTGGGCTATAGATCGATTTTGAAAATCTCGCAAATAGTAAATATATGCAATAAATGGTTTTCTTTATGATAAATGAATTTATTTAAATCAAGAGCTCCATTGATTGTTTTTATGATTTTTACTTACATTCAGTTTCTGTATCGGTGAGTAGTGTGATATTTTTAATGGGTTAGTGTAGTTCACTCTTTCATTAACTATTTCAGATTAAGAGAAACAAGACCTAAATCCCGATCAACAAGATGATTGTGAATAGTTTACCACCCGGACTCCCTTCAAAAGTTAATGAAGGTCGTTCTAGAATGTTCAGCATATTGCCTTTTATTTATTTCTTTAATTTTGTTTGTTCTTTTAGAATGATCGTTCCCGTATCCCTATTAGGCATTCTAAATTATTGTGTAAAGAATGAAAATCCTAAACTCTATCGTTTCATTTTCGCATTTAATTCATGATTTTATTTCTTTTTAAGTTTTGGACTTTTATATATGTAGATCAATATAGACAATGAATGTTTTGATGCTTTCTGTCGTGCAAGCTTGAGTCCCTCCAATACTTCTATCAATGTAGATCGATCTAGACAATGAACATTTTGATACTTTTTACAACGCAAGTTTGAGTCCCTCCAAAACTTCTAGGACTTTAGCCTTTATTGGTCTGGAAATGCTGGAGTTTCACATGAATCATATAACTCAATCACTAGGAGTATCTTTAGTAAACCCATATGTTGTAGTATGACTACGATTGCCACAAACAAAAGTATGAGTACTAAGCTTAAATCACCTGGTGAGATGAATTTTTCAACCCACCCAATAAAATCTAATGGCATCACCATCATCGTTTAAATGACAAGTTTTTTGATAAAGTATTATAAAGTTCAAAAACATTACTTATAATATCAAAACTAGATGAATCGATCACCTTATCTCTATTACCCAATATGGCATCATTCATTTCCTTCTATGGGATCCAGACTATAGTAGGAAAAATCACCTTTTACTTAGAAATGCCATAGGAACTCATTTTACTCGTAAGATTCTATGCGATACATTTATCCAAGAGCATAGAAAAGAAAATTACTATTTATGTACAAGGAAAAGAAGATTTAACTCTTTATATAATAAATAAAAAAAATTACAGTTTTATTTGAATAAAACTTAATTTTAGATTTGGTTTATAAATAAGACTAATTATTATTATCATTATTATTTTAATTTTTTATTTGTTTTGTGGGCATCTATCCATGCCTTTTAAATTGGCAATTTCACAAAAATGAAATAAGATATTTAATAATTTGTTTGGCATTACAATTGAGTAAGATATAATTTGCTACTTGTACAAATTAACAGGTTAAATTTTGTTAGGTTTTCAAATTCTATTAATTTAAGGCTATAGTAAATTATTATTCCATTTAATTTGATAATTCCACCTTTTTATTATTAAAATGTTATTTCATAAAAAAATTTTAAAGGAAAAAAAAGCCCATCTAAGTTGGCCCAATATTTATTATACATGTATTCAGACACCATATTTTTATACATGGACATAAATGCCCTCACAATTTTTACTCCTAATTCCCAGAAAAGTCAATGGCATTTTAGGTAATTGTACATAATCAAGAGCCATGTATAAGGGTATTTTAGTAATTTAATGTCTCGTAATGTTTGTTCCACTTCCTTTTTTTTTTTAATTAAATTTATATAGCTGATTGGTTCAGAAAATTCTACTCTCGTGTTTCTCTCTTTCTCTCTCTCTCTCGGTAGAAGGGGTTTTAGCTTAAACCCTTCTGTATCAGCAGTCATCCATGATGCCTATTAGGGTGCCGGCGGCGATCGCTGCAGCGGCTCCTCGCGGCTTGAGCCGCCTCTTCTCGACGGCTTCTTCGATTTTTCCTTCCATTCCTCCGCAGGCGGGGACTGCGGTTCCGGCTCGGGAGCAAGCGGAGCCCAACACCAACCTCTTTGTCTCCGGTACTCTTTCTCGTCTCTGTCAACCCTTATCTGTCATCTTGCTGTATGTTATTAAATGGGTTCTCCGTAATTTTTTTTTCTTCCAATCATTATTTCCGTGTGTGTTTAGTTGCTGGGAGGTTCGGGAATGTAAAAATGTTCCATTTTTCTGTTATTTTTACTGTTAAATCGTACCTGGGATCCGTATGAAAGCTGACTGGGAGGAGAACAAAGTGATTTAGGATAGAAGTTTCGATTTGAATAAAATATCAAGATGTGGTGTTCTGTTCGATTATTTTCTGATATTTTGATTTTATATCAATATATTTAATTTCTCAGATAATTGTTTTATCCTCTATTTGAAAATGAATAAGGTTTAGTACTGCCTACCACTTCAAGAGAATCGTCTGGAGGAAATTGGAAATGGGTTGCTTTTTGTTCAGTTGATCTGGTCATGTTCAGGAAAATGCGTAGTTACTGACACCCTGATGAGGTTGTGTCCATATCGAGTTATGACATTTTTGTATATTCTTTTAGCATCGCTCTTACGTTTTGTTCTACTGGGATGGATTACAGTGGTTTCTTTTTGAAGAAAAAGATTCACAAGGCGCCAAGGGGGTTCTACCCAAGTGGTTGGGGAATTCACAGCAGATAGTGGATCCCTTTTTTTGTTCCCCATATTTTTCTTAAAAGTTAAAATTGTCTGAAAATCAAGTTATATGTAGACTTCCTTGACCAAGAGGTTAGAACTAAGCTTCCAAGTGAGCCATTGTGGGGGAGCAGCTACATGTTAATGTAGATATATGATAGTGATTAGTAGGTCGCTTTGCTGTTTGGCTAAAATATGGTCACCGGAGATCTTCACTGGCTAGATGTGCTTTAGAAAATATGTTTATTATATGCACTTTGAATTGCCATTTGTTGGAACTTGGATGTGGTGCGGGATTTTGACTATCTAATTCCTGCTGCACCTTTTCCCTAGAGAGAAAGAACAGTAAGCTTACATCTGTAAAAGAGGAGCTTGATCAAGAAGGCATTATGAACTATTGAATGTTCTCATGTACTCACACTACAATTCTGTGTCATTTGTCCAAGTGCCGAGATTGTTTCATTCTTAGTTATTCCTGGCTTTATTTTCTGTTTGCTGTTGTTTTGTCTGATTAGTGGCACAGTCTTCTTACGTTCATGAAGGCATTGTGAACCATTGCATGTTCTCATGTACTGACACTAAGAACAATTCTCTGTCTCACTTGCTTAAGTGCTCAAGATTGTTTCATTCTTAGTTATTTGTGGTTTTAGTCTCTGTTTGTTGTTTTGTTGTCTGATTAGTTCTACAATCTTCTTATGTTCATCAAATTTTTGTTTGACCTAGCAAACAATGTTTTACAATATAGGTACTTTTACTTTTCAAGTTTGATGAATTTCTGTGGTGTTGTTTTGGCATTTGTCAACTTAAGATTTGCTGAAGGACCGTAATTTTTACAGTGCATGTGTAATTATTTTTCCTGTTTGGTTTGCCTTTGGATTTGGAATGGTATTGGAAAAACTAGGAAGATTCTAGTGCTTGTGGCAGTTAGTCTCTGCTTATCTTGTGGTGGGATCGATAGTTGAATGGGCATAGAGGATTGATTATTTGTTTGTGTTGGTGTTGGCTGGGAAGAGGGATTCTAAGATTTCATTTGGTACATGAAAACATTTTTAGCTTTCATTTTCAAAATTTGTCTTTATCTATGTTTTTATTTAGGAAAGTATGTAAAAGTTCCATATTTGTGTAATAGTTAGAGCAGAAATAAAATAGTTTTGCAGAAAACACCAAGGACAAAATTTTACTGGAATATGTTTTTCCTTTGTTTGATCTGTCCGGTAAGCAGGATGTACCTTAAGTGGTATATTTATCTTGATCTGTTGCATGGTAATGTTGCTTGAGTACATGTCTTTTGATGAGAAATTTTCCTATGAGTACTATGGTGCTGTCATAGTTTGGTTGTGCTATACATTTTGTTGATTGTGGGAACTAATCCTGTGGTTTCCAATAATTTAAAGTTCAAGCATCCAAGCTGAGGGAGGACTCCGTCCAGGGCTTTTATTCTTTTTGTTGATTCATCTGAATGTATGTATTTTATAAATTCTTTCGTGAACGTACACAGATCATAGATTTTGTTGTTTTCTTCCTTCTTACCCTCCTCTTGCCTGGTTTTGTTTTTAGTTTCATGGCTTAAAAATGTGTACTTACTGTTCAATAGTGTCTTTATCAATACATGTTCACTTGCAAATACTATTTCTGCTACCTTGATGTGTAACTTCCATTTTTTCAAAGATTCTTTATGGAGCAAGATATATATTCCTAAATAAAATTGTTATCTTTTGTTTCAGGGCTTAGCAAGCGTACTACGACAGAAGGACTCTGTGAAGCTTTTTCCAAGTTTGGTGAAGTGGTTCATGGTTTGTTCTTTTTTCTGTGAAGTTCTTTCGGAAGTATCATGAGTGTTGGCTTTTCTGCAAAACTAGCTTATTGCTTTATCTTTCTGTTGTAAAGTTTGTTTGATATATCATTTTGGACTTATTGTTATTGGCTTTTCCACCATTTGCAGCTAGGGTTGTCACTGATCGAGTATCAGGGTATTCTAAGGGATTTGGTTTTGTTAGATATGCTACCCTAGAAGATGCTGCCAAAGGTATAGAGGGCATGGATGGCAAGGTGAGTTGATGTTTATTTAAGTTTTCATCTAGCAAATTGCAATCTCATGAACCTAAAAAAGCTTAATGAAAATGACTCTGGTAACTAATTCTTTTTTAAAGAGAAAGAGAAATTGTCATAAAAAGGATGCCAAAGGGTGTCACCCGGTACAAGCTAAACTCTCTTTATACTATTACTAATTCCTTTTTCGAATGAATAGATACCTACACCCTTTTCTTAATAAAATACTTAAGAATGTTCTAAACATATAGTAAGTGGCTGGGAAGTTCAAGTTGCTCCTTTTTGGGGTTTCTGGAGGCAAGTAATGAAATGGAAAGAAAATACTCTATACAACTCTGTTTTCTGTCCCTCAATTGCATTGTCTTCTGCAAATAAAAATTGTTCAAAATATTCACACTCAATAAAGCACATTGTTTTTTTGCCAGATAAGTGGCTGCGATGTGAAGCTAACCCCAGCAGAGAGCGCTGCATAAAATGCTGCAATCTCTTCTCTCCTTAAAAAAAAAAGGCTACATGTTCATGTCTTCTGTAATTTGGCACTTAACCTTAGTGGCTAGCAAAGCGTTCCCAATGTTTTGAGTCGACTTTCAGAAATAGATAGGGAAGTGTACGAAACTGCTCTAGGTTGCTGAATTGTTATTACCAGAGTTAACGAGCCCATTTAGTACTTCCACATATAGGATTAGCTCTGAGCCAAAACCATCTACCGAACGTTCAGTCTTGGCTTGGTCAAATCTCAGCTTGAGCTCGGTTTTGCTGAGCTGCAAATCCACTTTGATTTTGTTTATAGATTTATTTATCGTGACAAATAGTTACAAACCCATAAGTATAAGAGCTGACCTACTCTAGAAAAAGTATAATTCTGGACATGTTTGATTCTATTTAATATATATGAACATTCTATGGATTTATTGTTATCTACAAGTTTATCTTTTATGTCTGTATATTTATATTAATATATTATATATTTACACCTTTAATTAATTATATTAAAAATAAAAATTGATATTTTTAAAGAATTTGAACTCTCTCTCAACCTCGAATTTTCAGTCTGACAAGCTCATTTTCTTACCAAACTTAAGTCGAGCCAAACTTGAACTTTAGGGATTTGGTTTTAGAAATTAGTTTTTGAGTTTCATTTTCTAAATTTATATATTTGATTTACTAAAACATATCTAGCTAGAAATAGATAGAAACAAGGTTCAAAAAGATTATATTTGGGAAGATGACACAAGGTTTTGAATTTTTGCCATGTGTTCAGTATCATTTTCCAAAATATGTTTTCGTTTTTAACAAGTAGATATTCTTTTTCTTTTTTAAATATGAATATAGATCAGTCTTGAAAATGAAAACATAAAATATTTCTCTGCAACTAAACAAGCCTAACTCTTTATATGAACTGAAATCAAATTTCAAGGAAAACTCAAACTTCCAAATTCAACCTAGTAAACTTAAGTATTGAAGGGTTCAGCTTGGTTCAGTTAGTTGCCAATCTTCTTAAATTAAATTGGATTATTTTGTCAATAATGGAATTAAAGCATGTTTGAGGTTTCTGAAGGTGCTTATTCTCTGATTGTGTTGGCAATGTTACCCTGCTTTCATACTTGTGCTCTGCAGTTGGCTCTTTCTATCTGACCATAGTCAGTCTTGCCCAAAAATGTTAATGATAAATTTTGCGTGCTTTTGCTTCAAAATTTTGGTTTCATTTTCCTTTACTTAAGCGCTGACTTTGCCAACTTCTGCAGTTTCTGGATGGATGGGTCATATTTGCAGAGTATGCAAGACCTAGACCACAACCTACACCACCTGAGAACATGTATCCTCCGTATAATCGTCAATGAACTGAGCAGAATGAGTTTCGTTCTTCTTGGAATTGGTTGGCTATCGAGTTGCATTCACAATTCTCAAATTTTAATCAGAGGTAGCTCGTTGGTCCTCCATCACACTTTGCATACTTTAAGTTAGTGGAGGAGATTTGCCTTATTAATTTAGTATGAACACTGTATAACTGAGAAAATACATGGATTTCCAATTGTTTTCCCCCCTGGACTTATTTATAGACATTTGGTCAAATTATGTACTATTCAATTAAACTCAAGTTGAAACTTTATTGAGAAATTGCCTAGCTTTGGTTGTATGTTATCTTTTTGGAAGTTGAAATTAAATCACCTATTTGATCTTATTTCATTTTGTAGATTAGAATTTGGATTATTTTTTACAGTAAAGACAGTGGGATATTAATGGATATTTTCTCAGAGGATGAGAATAGTTTTCAGTTGAAAAGTTGAGTAGATAGATATTTGGAGATCTTTTCAGGCTATATAGACAATGAAATTGTCCATAAATGAAGATACCCTCTGGTGGTATCATAGTAAGACAATGATAATGTGCATATACATACATATATATATATATATATGTATATACATTGTGTTATTGTTGGAGTTCTTTGTTTAGCATCAGGATTCTAGTATCATTCATGAATCTCAAGGAAGCCATTGAATTTTCTAACTAGTATTAGAATTAGGAGGTGACATAAATTTTTTATTCAAAATTTTAGTTAATACAGTACAAATTGTATACATCATAAATTCATTGAATAATATTTTAGAATACCAAATAAAGTAAATAAATTTTTTAGACGAATTTATTGGACTCGGTTTGTATTACGAATCCCGCGAAATAAGAATATTATAATTTTCTTTTCTTTTGTTATCAACTAAAATTAAGAAATTAATTTAATACGATAAATTAAAGAAATAAACTTGCTGTCTCTATTCTTATGGATACAAACAATTATTTTGTAGTGTGGAGATTGCATTTGCTTGAGGGTTCTTCCTTGCTTCACCATCACCTTGACAAATACATACAAATTTTATTTCTTCTCGACAAGACTCTCAATTAATGTCACTTATAACGATTATAAGAACGATAAATCTAAATTTACTATGAAGAATTTTAAAAATTATAATATTTTTTTTTCTCTTAAACGCGCTCTAATATATTAAAATTTTATAAAATATATATAAAATGTTAAAAAAAATAAAATTCCAAAGTGGGTCGTATTATATTTGCCAACACCATGTTTATTAGCATTAACCTTGCAAAATCATAAGTTTTTTGTTTTTTGTTTATACCGAAAATAAAGTATACCACTTCTCAAGTAATTACATAAAGTGTCTAGAATTTACTCTGGGGACATTAGTTATAAAACTAAAATTCGTATACTTAAAATAGGAAGCACACCTCATTACCAATTCGAGTAAGTATTGATTGCGTTTACAAGTGGCGGAAATCGAGCAACGAAATCCCTCCACGAAGTTTTTCGGGTGGACCCGTCGAGTGAGGGGGATTTGCCTTCTCATTGAAGGTAACCAAAACAGAAATTAATGAGTTTGAAAATAACCAAACACTGGATATTTAGTCCTGTATCATTCCAGTTAGGACCAAGAAGAAAACAAAGAATTGAATTGTGGTTGTTTGGAGGAACTTTGATGAAGACAAAATTTTAATGCGCCTTCGTTTCTCATCACCTAATGCTTACTTACACCTCATGTGTTGTCAAATTCAAGAGCTTATTTTGTTACATGATAAGTTGTTTTCTTCTGTTGTTGCATTAGCAGGTAGAATTTTCCAGAGAGGAAATAAATGTACTCTTCAATTTTTCTTTTTATATTTTTTAACTTATTGTATTTTATATGTATACTTCGTTTTGTATTTTATATTATACTAATCTTAATTGAAAAAAAAAAAAAAGTGAATGATGGTCGAAATTATTTTAGTAAAATTTTATTTGCATTTTCTATTTTTAATTTCCCATAT